AGTCCACATGTCGGGGGTGGGCTCGAGGCGGTGTGGCCTGTGCAAACTTGTACGGCATGAAAATCAAACCCTAAGTTCACCTGGGTGTCGTCGCCCCTTCACTGGTACCCACCAGCTTTGTGCGTACATGTAGTTTATGTACACATGGACTAAATACCGCAGTTATCGTGGGTGCGCACATTTTGGCATCCTTCATGATCCTATCAGCATCATTACAACCCGGTCCAATGCATACGGATGGCTTCGGGGCTCTCGTTACTTTGCCCGCGTCTACCCAGGCATTGACTTCAACGAGGAGCCCCAGCTTCATGCACCCCCCTGTATCGTTCTATCCACTCGTCGACACTCACACCTGCTTGCTTGCCCGAGCTGTGCTTTCCGTGTGAGAAAACCAAGCTCTCAACACTCGTCTTTCGAGGTTTCTAGCCCGGGTGTGGGTTCTCAGAACCTGGAAAACGTGCCCATCGAGGGTTGAGCAGCGGCTCTGTGAAGCTTGTCTCGCCTGTTTGCGGTAGCGCGCGATCCGGACAGAAGTTTGAATGCCTGCAAAAGCCTGAGCATGGCTTCGCCATGTCATTAACGCGTTCCTGGCACGGTGTGCTTCTGCCCACACCCCACCTCGCCACATCGAGAGGCGGACAAGCCTTCGGTTTTCCATCCAACGTCGAAACTTCAGACAGCCAATACGCTGTCCCCGTTGCCCCTACACAAACGAGTCCGTTCATCCGGAAGCAGCAAGTGGAACAAGTGGAAGAGGCACAGGGCAGGGGGTCAATAAATTCGTATTGAGCACCATCAACGAGGCGCTCGCTCTTCACCTCTATGACCTTTGGGGTGCTAGAACTGTAGCACACCCCAACTGCGTTTACAGCGGCAGACAAAACCATGTGGGATTAAAAAAGCAGCGATCGACTTGATCAGGAATTACCGTTGAAAAGTGGCACCTGAAAACGTGCGATGGTATTGCTGACACGAGTGACGTGGGCCACGCGTCTCCGCCAAAATGATAGCCCTGCTGAAAGAGTCTGGCCGCGGTAATGACGGCAAGCAGATTGTCCAAGGTCGTGCTGGTCTCCGAATTGGGTGGTCGTCCTTCGCCAGCAGGAAATGGTGGCGGATATGCATCTATCCCGACGAAACACCTTTGCCCTGTAGGCGGCACGAGTTTCCTGTGTAGCCCAACACGTGACAAATAGACCCCGGCAGGGTTTGGGTGTTAAGCGCTTGGACGTTGACCAAGTTCTTTTGAAAGCAGGCCACTGAAACGTACGATTGAGTTGATTGGCCGATAAATCTAGAGGCCTCCCCCGTCTGATCAGAACTTTTACGTCAGATCTTCCTGCGGGTGCAGTTCAGCCCATCAACCCACGTATTGCTCTATTTCCTACATTTCCCCCACAGTCGCGCACGACGTTGATCGAGAAGAACGACGACGGGAGATACAAACTCGGGTTTGGTGACTACTTTTCATGGACGCCACCCCTTGAAAGCTTGTGCTCCAAAAAGGGACAAGAGAGTCCTTGATAGTATTTCTAAAGTAGCTCGTTGTGCATGTGCGATTGTGTGCTCGATACATACAGGGTTCTGAGGCGCCATGTGTGTTGGTTTGAACGACTGCGCGTAGCATCGATGCACAGGTCCAGGTCCAGCTTGTGGGTTTACCTGTTTCAAAGCGCTGAAACTTGCTAGGCCTTGCTGCAAGAACCGCGCACGACGCATCCTGTAGGCAGCGTCGTTGCTTCGCTGCTGCCGCTGGATGGAAATCGATCGAGCATGCCATCGTCTCAGGCCCCCCCAAACGCGAGCACGTCTGTTCGGATAGGCATGCAATGTCAGAGTTACCAACTATACCATGGCCAGACAAACACTGCTGTTTGAGTCTTAACAAAAAAAAATGCGGAACATGCTTCTTGGAAATGCGGATATTGTCCCACGGTCTGCGACATCCAGTACCAGAATGTGACACGCATCGTCTTAGATCAAATAGGATCTCAACTCTGCACGTTTCCTTACCGAAACTTCACGGCCTCTGACGCCAATGCCCTTGTGTTCCTTCTGCGAACAACATGTTGCTTCAGCCTTTTCACGCATAAACTTAGCGCGCGTTGTCTTGTCCTCTTGGAAACAGCTGCGGAGCAAGGCGAATTGCCATACATTGTAGCGTAAAAAGCGTGCATGGTGATATGACATTTCAGTGACGTTGGCAGTCACAATATGAAAACTCTACCGTGGCTAGGCCAGATCTTGGGCGTTACTTCCCATTTGAGAAGGATCGCAACTAGTGCAACACCCCAGAGGCGTGGACAGTAGTGCACACATTCTTAAATAATCTGTTACTGCCCAAGAAAGAAATTCGATTCCAATATGGTGGATACACTCGGTCATTGGTCGCCCATTCGGTTGAAAATGGTATTTTTGTATTATAATGAAGGGCTGTATTGTCTGGGGATGTGCAGCAGGCTGTAGAGCGTTTGCGGTGAACTGGCAACGGATCCCAGCATGAGAGCTGTATGTAGCCAACCCGTCGAACGTCCAACCGCATGTTCTCCGAACATTTTCATTCTACGACCTTTCACGTCAAGATGTTTCTTTGTAACGGTCTGTTTTCACCACGTTAGCTTGAAATGTTCTGGGAAGCTCACTCACTTGTTTCGCTGATCCATATCTTGATGCTTGTTCGCTGTTTCGCTGTTAGCACGCTGTGCTGCCATAGTTCGATCGCCACCTTCTGGCTGTGTCCAACCACCAACCTGCAAGGTGTTCGCGCCAACGAGCCGACAACAAAAGCTAATAAAAGGGGCTTCTTACAGCACAACGACGGACGATTGGGTGGCTTGCCCGAAATGTCTTGCGACCGTCTCGAACGCGTGTGTCTGCAGTGATCGAACACCACCACGAGACCTCTCAGGCTACCTCAACACGCGCCTGCTTTGTTTGCTTCCAGGAACCAGCAGTATAAACGCCTGCATACCAGAGGGCGTCAGGGAGAGGAACCCTTCTGTGTGACCACGGATCCTACACGAAAATAATAATGTAAAGAAGATACAAGCCCCGGTGTTAACCCCCTCCTGTGTGACCCTGGGTGGTTGTAGTTGATCGACAAAACACAATGAAAAGTGTTGTACTCTACATACACTGAAAGGTGGGGGACTGTCGCCACAATATGTATTAGGACGAGAACGCACACACACACCAGAAATGCTGGGAGCGCTGATTCGAACGAAGGAAAGAAATATATACTGCACTGCTGCTGTTACCGGTGTATGCCCCTGCGCAATTTTCGTGCACGATCATGGTCTTTCGCCCGTGCCGCAGCAGATTGGGCGCATCTCCGGTTCTCGAGGAAACTCATGAATCCTTGTCTCAGACCCGCCCTGCAGTTGTTCAAATCAATGCGTCGTGGGTACACCAAACTTGAGGTTGGCGGTCAAGCTGGCCTAGTTATTGTTCGTGTCCTAATCCAATCCGTGGTTGCATGTCGTGGCACGCAATAGTCGTCCGTCTTTATGGTGCGCGACCAGCTTCTCCAGACGATCGATGTCGTCGTGATGCCGAAAACACACGAAAAGATCACCAAGGACGAGTAGGTAAAATAGCGCACCTCAGCAATCGATACCGAAGTCTTTCTGCGGCCCTTGCTTCGTGGGCTATGCTTCGCATGACTCCTACTGCTTTTCGCACAGGTCCGATCACTGTCCACGCGTGCATTAGTCTTGTCAATGCTGATGCACGTGCCCTGCTCCGCCATAGCTTCAGGACAATAGCCATTGCTTTCGCCTCTTGGCTCGCAGAAACCGCTCGTTTTGCTTCGTTCAGCAACAACGATTGCTTCGTGGCTGCTGCCCATGAGTAGAACTCGGCTTTGGCCTGAATGTCGAGAGCAAGCTTTCGCCAACGGCACCATGCACGCTGGAGCCGTCGCTGGGAAAGACGATGAAAAGACCTGAAGACTCTTTTGAGATGCCGTTCGCGACGCCTCCTCACACACATTTCTTTGAAGCGGTGTAATGCCCGGGAAAGTCTACGAGAGTACGGGCATGGGGGAGTACAGACAGGTTGTTTTCGACGACCAGCGGACCATGTTGGACTATCGAGAAAGGCACATGTGAATGTTTCCCACACAGGCAAGACCTGGTACCTACATTGAGGACGAAGAAAACTTCCGCGAGGGTTGCCCGAACAAGAGATTTCTTGTTGTACAACGGACAATGTGTACAGCAGCAGTGTAGACTATTTAGTGGTCGTTCTGCTGTACAGCAGCGGTGGTGGGAGTCAATGATATGTCACCACGACACCAAATACACATCGAAGCAACATTTGCTGCGGGAAACCAGGCGACTGTAGAACCACTCACCAACAGACCCCATGGGCTACATGCGATGTATGTCGATGTCCCCCAAGGTTTGAAGACAAGTTGGTACCAAGAGACCGTAGCATCTACAATAGACCTCGCCAGTGCTTTCACCTTTTGGCCTCCGCCAACGCCTCTCGTGCTGCCCGCTCCGCATCCATGCCGCGGTTCCTTTGAAGCCAGGCACTCCACAAGACGACCGCCTTTGTGAGGGTACATCGATTTCGTGTTACCCGCCAGGCCCGATCTCGAGCCTTCGCCTCAAGCTCGTGCCTCCAGCACCCAAAGATCTTCGACAATATCTTGGTGTGGTTGTCGCTAGGTTCATGGCAGTCACCAGTTTCGAGGCCTCGTGCAGGGCCCAGCCCGCCGTGTCCCAAACAACTGCACACGGCTGCGATTTTCGCCAATTGGCTGTCGATCATAGCGCTTTCCACCAGCATGGCTGGCACAAGTATGCACGCGAGCTCAATTGTATTGTCCGAGAGGCAAACCCGGAAGGACAAACTTTGTCGTGCTTGATGTCGTGCCGGTCGCGCCTGAAATCTTCGGAGAGGGCCTGTAAAAAATACAAAGAGGCATTTCATTTTTTGTGCTGACAGGACTGTACATGAGCATCTGCTCTTCTCCTTCAGTGCGTTTTGTCGTATTGGCCCGTGACCTGAACACATTACCCACCCACGCAAACGCCCACCATGTCCTCGCGCTTGGCCCTGCTGGAGAGGTTCGTGGAAGATGAGTGCATTCCGGCTGAGCCCGTATTCACGCGGGAGATGGCAGAAATCGAGGCGAGGACGGGAACCCGGTGGGAGGAAGTCCCGGCGGTGTTGTCGAGACTCAAGGCAAAGGCTCAATCTCTCGGCTTGTGGAACCTCTTCATGCCCAAGGTATTCTTGGTGTGAACAACCATTTAGTGGGCCATCCATTAACAAAGCTGCTTCCCTGGCAGGGGGCCTGGCAGGGATCGCCGTGCGAGATTTGCCCCGATTGTCCCGCTCCAGGCGGCATGAAGCTTCAGAGGCAGTCAGTCAGATGGCTTTTATTTTACCGCCTCATCAAGCAACTTGGCGTGGATGCATGTACATCTAGTATATAATAGTACATCTACGCATATGGATACGACAGGGCATCGTTCATGCTCGGTAGCTGCAGAAGTAAATATTGACGTGCAGCAGTAGAGAGAACATGCCATTTGAACAAAATGAAGAGTAAAAGAAGCTCCTCTGTGACCCCGGCTGGTTTGTCAAAACACACAAGTCTACACCGAAAGTAAGGTGTGTTGTAGCGCTAGCCAGATGGGACGAACACCCACACTCAACTGCAGTCAACACTTGACGTTATCGTCCTTACTCGCGGGTCACATCTCACACCAACGTCTAGGTAATAAGAGCCCTCGTAACTACCAAGGCTATGTCCCAGCGCTGCAAGTAGGTTGGTTGCCTCTTGTGGCCGAAATATACGCGTTGATGTGGCACACATCCTGGAATCCAGTGCCGAAGACTACCGGTTTTGTGTGATCGTTGGATTCATGACAATTTGAAGTGGTCCTGCGACGAAGCGCAGGCATATCCATCTACATCCGATGTAAAGCGTTTTGCGTGCACGTTGTTGTCCTGCAGGGGCACGAAGGGAGCGCGAATGTGCCGATGCAGGAATACGCACAAATGAGCGAGGTGAGGTGTGCCAGCGGCTTCATTCACCAGCGATGGGTCCGATCTGTTCGTCGACTGCCACGCTTGATACCTGTAGGCCAATCTGGCACCTCGAGAATCATATTGACAGTCAGTAGCTCGTGACCAACCAAGCTGATGTGCAACACTCCTGTACACTACACAATGCACAGAGGACCGTGCAGCATTGTAAAATGCGATAGCGACACAAGCTACTACGGAGAGCAAACGCAGCACCTGCGCTCTTCCCGTGATTCCATTCAGGTCAGGAGATAGACGTATCTTGCTTATATTTTCCGTGGCATGTCGATTTTATCCTGACCTTCCCCCGACTACGTTGCCCGACCTATGCTTGCCCCTGCCTCTCATCCAGCTGATGGGACGCTCGTCTATCGCTCCTGAGGCGTGCAACTGCTCCGCACCCGACACCGGCAACATGGAGGTATGCCGCGGAGAACGTTGGCGGCGATGCTGAGCATGCTATCGAATGTGGGACTCCCACCCGTATTGATGCTTCCGCGTGCAGTCTTCCGCAATGAGCGTTTGGCACCACCAACTGATGAAAACTCCGAGGAACTAGGGTTCCGATTCGCCGCCGCCGGCGGGGGGGTTCGGCCATGATTGTACGAACTAACCCACGCAACGGTTACGCACCACTCTTCTCCCCACCCGACGTGAAGGTGTTCGCCAACTATGGCAGTCCCGAGCACAAGGCGACGTGGCTGATACCACTGCTTGAAGGTGCGTGCACAGCCCATGGCCCGCGTGGTGATGGGTACTCGTGGATATTTGCTGCCCGTGCGACAGACTGCAGTCGTATCCTTCGTCAACTAAAAATTGTGACCCTTCGCCTGCCCCTAACCTTCCCACTCTCCAGGCAAGATTCGAAGTGCGTTCCTGATGACCGAGCCTGCGGTTGCAAGCTCAGACGCCACAAACATTGCCTGCGATGTGCGCAGAGAAGGCGACATGTACGTGATCAACGGCCGCAAGTGGTGGAGCTCTGGAGCGATGGATCCACGATGCAAGGTGCGTAGCAGTGGAGTGATTTTCCGTACCGTATCCAGATGTCACACGCCGGTCATGCTGCTGCAGGGTGGGAGACACGACCGCTCAGCGAATCCATCGTTTACAACACACCATGCTACCATCGCGGTTCTCTTGGGGCACATCTTAAGCACAAGAAACGCGACGAGTTAGCATTGTGTTTTTTGCAAACAGATGTTGGACAGCATCGAGAGGGAACCGTGCCACACGTATGGAAGTCATTTGTGGGGGTCTTGGCTTCGTACGCGACATCCTAAAGCAGCACGGTGCGTCCAGATTTTCCATTTGCCTGATAACGTCTATTACACTGATTGCGCAACGGAGTAACGCCGACGGTATGGTACCACATTAAGGGGCATGGGCGGCTGCCTTCGAGTTAGTGTTTCCCTCCGTGTGCCCTCCCGTTCCCGAAGCCGTTTATGAAGCTTGCAAAAGCTTGCCAAAGTAGTACCAGTCTAGACTGCATCTGTTGTTCGTGCAAACAACGAATGTTCATGCATTTCGTGCACTGTTTTCACCACAAGGTTGCCATCGTCATGTGCCGCCACGGGGGCGCTGAGTGGGATGCGAAGGGGTTCCATGGCCGCCACAGCATGGTGGTGGTTCCGATCGATGCGCCTGGCGTGACGATGGTCCGAGCTCTCAAGGTCTTCGGGTACGACGATGCTCCGCACGGTCATGCCGAGGTCGAGCTCAGGTGCGGCAGTTGTACATCCCGAGAGTTTTAGCAATCTCTTTGCGATACCGTATGCATGATAAGACCTCACCCGGTGCTCACACCTGCAAAATTTCCAGCATTCAATGAATCCGGTTGTTGTAAGAACAATCCCCCTGCAGTCTGCGCGCAACGGCACAGCAGGTGCTCCGCGATGGCTTTTCCCTTCATGTGGGGTTCCGCCCAACATCTGGCTTTGCTGTGCACTTTGTGCCAGTTCACTGTTGGGTGCGCTGGTCTCCAGTCACCCGTACAAAGTTCGACGAGAACCGCAGAGAATCTCACGAGCGCAGCTTTCGTCGAAGAGTCTGAAATGTGGAGAGAAAGCCTCTTGGCGGTCATACGCAGGAACAAGTTCAACGTACGTTTGACGTTGCGCGTTTACCCCCCCCCGCAACAGGAATGTTCGTGTTCCACTATCCAGCATCCTGCTGGGCGAAGGGAGGGGCTTCGAGATTGCTCAGGGAAGGCTCGGGCCCGGAAGGGTGCACCACTGCATGCGTGCTGTGGGGATGGCGGAACGCGCCTTGGCAGCCCATATTCAGCGCTCTCGGTGGGCTTCAATCGTTTGTGTCTTGCGCGCAGTGAGGTGGCGTTTTGATCTTTTGCCAGATGCTTTAGCAACATGTAGCACACCGTCGTTCAAGCTTCCCCCATGTGTGCGTGCTCTCATCGTTTTTTTGGTCGAAACTGCCGCTGTTGCCCCACTCTCGTGATGTGTGTATTGCCAAGTGTTCGGCTGCTCTTGCGCTTTCCCCGTCCTAAACGTTGCTTTCTGGGTTACGATACGCTGATGTCCTCGTCCCCTGCCCTCTGCACCTTGGTTAGGGACCGTATCGCGTTCGGCAAGGCGCTTAGCGAAGACAGCCTCGTAAGACATCATGTGGCACAGAGCCGGATGGAGATCGACCAGGTGCGATGGTTGAATGTTATGGGGCTTCTTGACAAGTGTGATGCTTTTGCTTTTTTCGATGTGCGATTGTGGATATTTCTACAGTATCCAAGGTATTTCAATCTGTCTCGATCTTCTCTGCGTAACAATCTTGGTCCTGGGGTTCCGTCCTCATTTACGATGCTGTCGATCGAAAGGTTCGAGGATCTCTGTGAAGTGATCGGCAGTATCTTCGGGGACGTTCAGAAAGGCTTTTTTTTTTTGCGTTCTTTTACATACCCACAGCAGTGGTGTGGCGGTCACTTCCTAGGCATGAACAGGGCTTCAGTATAGTTCACAGGTGTCACGCTAAACGTTGCTCACGAGTTTTTGCCGTTGGTCTCATAGTCTAGGGGTGATCCAAGCAACGATTTGCCTTTGCACGTGAAGTACGTATTTCCCAATAGATCTGTCCTTTGCAAGCAGGATGCGCAACTTCGCGGTGTTCCTGACTGACATATTGTTCATATCGCTGTCGGATACCGCCTGCGTTTTGTGCCGTAGTCTCGGCTTCTCGTCCAGGACTGCGCTGCGAAACTCGAGGCGTTTGGTCTACAAGGAGCCATCCAGGAAGTCTCGATGATCAAGGTAAGATGGAGATTTTAGATTGTCTCCCTCACGTCCCACGCGGTAGTTCGATCTTGCGTTGCCGCTGGACTTGATGTGTCCGACAACAATTCATCCTTCCATCTATGCATACCGCATGCTGTCGGTGCCACCGCGTGCAGCTATCAAGGGACGCCAGAAATTAGCAGACATTCCACTACGGCTCAGCACATCCTTACTACAATACCCGTACCGAAACCACAACGACACTGCTGGCAACGAGTTTATTCCCTCGCGTTAACAACCTGCGGCAGGTGGTGGTGCCGAACATGGCATGCCGGGTTATTGATCGCGCAATCCAGATGCACGGCGGCTTGGGGGTGTGCCAAGACACGTTCTTGTCAGAAGCTTATGCCCACATGCGTACTTTGCGGATCGCCGATGGGCCCGACGAAGTGCACACACGCAGCGTTGCCAAGTACGAATATCGGCGAGCCGCAGGGATGGCATTGTCCTCCCGCCTTTGAATGGATGGGCGATCCTTTACTCCCATAAAATAAGGCATGGGCGTGGTCGAAGTACCAGAACAGGACCCGCGCGTCTTTGGCTGGTGGCACATTTCGTTGAAACTTGCACTTGTAGAAAATGCGTTTCATGATTACTGTATCCTGCAGTTACGCCTCATAACCTGGCAAACATTCAAAGGCTTAACGAAGAAGAGCGAATGTCTGTCGACAACATGAGTGTTTCTATTCACCATTCACCTCATACGTTGTGGTACACACCTCAGAAGTATATCAGATCGTATGCATACAAGATGTGAAGTAAACAATTTGTTTCACAGACACGGCTGAGTTTTGGGTGCTACATGCACGAACGACTACATCATTTCGTTTGTGTGCGGTTGATGCCTGCCCTGGTAGGAGGCCTCAGGGAGAGGAACCCTTCTTCTGTGTGATGACGGGCTGGAGTAAACAGCAGTGCTCGCTGCTGTGAACGCTGACTTGCAGTCAAGACGAAAAATATATATTTCGCTGCATGTGTGAGGCAACATCCCTTACCTCCCCAACCCGGCTTGCTAAACAGCTCACGGAGAACCACTTCGTGTCATGCCAGCCGGGTCAGTGAAAACCACAACTACCTACCAGGTACAAGTCTGTCCTCCGGCTTCTTCTTTGGATGGATGCGGTGTAAACGATGCACACATCATGAATGCTACATGATTTTGAGGTCACCCCCACGCCCGGTGTCTCTGCCTGCCTCACAGTTGTATGCACCAGTAAGTAGAGTGTTCTGACAAGCGAACCGAGATTCCACACATTCATGCATGCAAGCAGCCTGGCAGGAAAAAAAGCAGGACGATAAAAACACGCGGTAGGGGGGGGTTGTATGTGAGTTTTTTGTTTTCTAGAAAGTATACACAATCTCACAGAAAGACCTTCCGTTCGAGATAATATCGCAGTTGTTTTCGTTTTACCTATTTATTTTGGCGAGTGAAGTCCCCCCATTTTTGTCAGTTTAGAACAATTTTCAATTTCCGCGTTTTCATGCAAGTCTTGTTGTCTTCACATTAGAAACCGTTCCGATCTCAGTCTACCCAGTACCTTCGTATGTCCGTACTGATCCAACACTCGACGCGGTCGATTCCCGTGGTCGCAGGCTAACTTACCCTAAAAAAGTTACACTCCAATAAAATGGGCCCCGAGGGGTCCGCAAGTCAATAGAAATCAACGACAGGTATTCTGGAGTCCTCCACTCCCTCTGCACGCTATGCGAGGTAACAACTGAGACTAGGAGTCACCATCACGGGACGGAGAGAATGAGGTACACCCCCTTGGTTCAATCTTGTTACTTCACAACTCAAGCAGAGACAAGGCCATCTGGCACAGAAAAAGGGAGAAAAGAGAAAAGAGAAGAAAATAAAAGGAAACAGTAAGGCCATTTGTAAGGCGGGTTACGGTTTGAAAAATTCCAGTTGAAAAATTGAAATTTTCAATTCCCAGCCGAACAGAGCATCTTACGATTTGGAAAATCGATTTTTTGGAGAAATAAATTTTCAGCTCGGGCCAAAAAAAACTGGAAACGCTCTGCGCAGTTGAAATTTTCAGGAATTTTTGAGTCGCGACCGAGCTGAAAGAGCTCATTGGAAATCCAAACGTAGGGGGGGGGGGGGTATCACACAGACCCCCCACCACACCTGCTTTGGTCGCTGGAAGCACCCGACAGTGCACAACAGCGCACCACAAAGCAGCACAGCACAGCACAGCACAGCACAGCACAGCGCGTGACAGCCTAGCACAGCGCCTCACACGCGCAGACCCGGTGCTTTGTTGTCAGCGCGCAGCCCGATATGGGGACCGGCGACGATCTATTGGAAGCAAACAGTGCTGTCAGTAGCGTTGGCGGCTTTGCACCAGATCCATCAGGAGGATGGTCGCCGGCGCACTGCAGCACGCTCGGTATCCTATTGGGATGCTGTGCCGTTCGCGCGCTTGATCACGGAGCACGCGTACCAGATGGCCGCGTTCTGAAGGATGTTCACGTTTTTGGCTGTCGCCTTGTCGCAACCGAGTATCGACCGCAGCAGCGCATCGGAGTATTTGTTCGCGCCTTGCAGCAGCAGTGGTTCCACTAGCGGCATGATGTTGCGTCGTCTGACGGGGGTGTAATTGTGACCCCCCCCCCCCCCCCCCCCCCCCCCCCCCCCCCCCCCCCCCCCCCCCCCCCCCCC